TACACCTTCCGCTTTCTCTGTGACGACCCGGGATTCCAATCAGGTATAGTTGTTTTTGTTATAATTATTGTTTCTTTATCATCTTGTGGTGAAACTGCATTTACCTGTTTTATCTGTTGAGTTAGCGCGTTGTAAGGAATAATTAAATTTAATCATCATCATTACATAAGTAACCAGATGAGGAACCCGAAGGTTCATCACCGAATTGACCAAAGCCCTCCACCAGACCCTGTCCTGGGCCAACAAAATCCAGTCTCCTTCAACTCCTATCTCCTTAGATCCCGCCTGAGATTATCCTCCCATCTACGTCTAGATCTCCCCAGAGGTCTCTTCTCCTCAGGCTTCCCAAATAGTGGACCCAACCGAAGGTTCATCACCGAATTAACCAAAGCCCTCCACCGGACCCTGTCCTGGGCCAACAAAATCCAGTCTCCTTCAACTCTTATCTCCCATAGATCCCGTCTCACATTATTCTCCCATCTACGTCTAGGTCTCCCCAGAGGTCTCTTCCCTTCAGGCGTCCCGATCAATACCCGGTGCACACCTCTTGTCCCATCCATGCGTGCTACATGCCCAGCCCATCTCATTCTTCTCGACTTAATCACCCTGACAATATTGGGGGAGGAGCCACGGCTTAGCAAGAACTCGGTACGGCAAAATTCCCAGCTCGGGTTAGGTTATGTTAGGTTAGGTTGGTGAGGTGACGCGTTCGCATGCGCAGAAGACATTACGCAATATTCAGCTCCCAATGGACATATTTAGTTATATTTGGCTTCGTTGGGAAGGATTAGGTTCGGTTAGGCTAGTCTAGGTTATGTTAACGATAGTTTAGATTAAGTTAGGTTAGGTTAGACGAGCTTGATGACGTCTTTTAGCAACGAACATGTACCCATGCGCACAAGGACTGCGCAGTGTTTAGCTGCTTAGTGGTAGATTTACTTGGATTTGTTTATGTAAGGTTAGGTTATGGCAAGTTAGATGAGACAATTGACGCCCGTACGCAAAAGACACACACAGACCCCCAGACACCGTGTCCGGAAGAGACTGGAACAGGCAGAGATCGGTTGGAGAGTAGTTCGGAAAATTTTTCGAAAAATCAAAAAATGCTGGAAAATGTCCAAAAAGAACACAAAACTAAAAAAAATAATTAAAATTTCAACTTTAAATAAATTGTCGAATATTTCGAAATTTTTTGGTTTTGTGCGCTTTTAAGTCAATTTGAGGAATTTTTTGATTTTTCGAAATGATTTTTTACAACAGACTTTGTTTCTGTGTTGGGATACCCAAGATCAAATGTTCACAACCTTCCCCTTCTGTACTGTATTTGTGCCGTGTGCATCTTCTGATGTTTCAGAGTACCTGATGTACAAGATGTGTTATCGAGGGGTGTCAAAAGACTGGGATGCATGTGCCAGCCGATTCGTGCAGCTTGTTAGGGAGGAGATGAACCGAAAGAATGTGACGGAAGCAAGTCGACTAATGGAGTTGTGCTGGTCAGTAGCCAGCGTCGTACGTGTGTGAAGATTGTAATTTGTACTCGAGATTAAACATCACACATAAATTCAAGTACAGTCTCTTCAATTCGTAATTTTACAGATCTGCCAATAGATCCATTCATCTTGTAATGTGTCTTACGTGTTTATAAGAATTCATAAAATATTATAATTGCTAATATAATTTTATAAAATATCATTCAGATTTGTAATTCTTATGGCAGAAGAATCTTTACTTCGATATGTATGAAATCTTCATGTTTCATCTTCAACTTCTCATCTCTTTTTTTGGTCTTGGAGTATGATGGAAGACTTGTTTGCTGTTTTCGTATCATCAGATATTTGCAGATGTCCGTCACTTTAATAAATTAATTTCTAATTCCCTCTGTATTTTGTCTGTTATCGTGTAAATTCCGGTACATATTTTAGTTAATCTTTGCAAATTTAACAATTGTTGGTTGAATATTTGTTACGCCTTTCAATTTTACGTATCTGTGTTTCACTCCCATTAGTTACATGTCAAATTTATTTTTATTCCGAAGGGAACAGAAAATTTTTCCTAAAATTCATTTTGACAAATTTCATCTTCTCTACTCTCCAATATAAAAGCAAATTTTAAAACATACAAAACTATAATTTCTACAGGAAGAATAAATATTTTAAATAAATTGTGATTAAAACATTTGGAGCTAAAATAAATTCTCACGTGGAAGGTTTCGAAAAAGATTAATAATAAATTTGACTGAAATCTATCCAGGCATTTCAGAGATGAAATACGTGAACAGAGGACCTACCCATCGTTAATTAATTTTATGTAAATAATTTACAATAATTGAGGTTAACGCAAAACAAATTTTGTGTTTCAGCGCGAAACACGGATTTCTGAGGTGTGTTTACGCGGCGAGCAGGTACAAGTGTCGTAAGGAGGAGGCGATGTTCTTGAAGAAAATTGCCGAAACGTTGTCTGATACGCGCGTCTACTCGCCGCACTGCAAGAATGTGGAGACCCAACTGTGCAGTTGTGGAAAAATGCTCTGGGCATCGATTTCGTCGATCATCGTCACATTTTTAACGTTGACGACACTCTCTCTGTGTTCCTGCAGCTCATCAGTTTGCTGAGAGGTAATTTCAGGTTAATTAACAACAACAACAAAAATACAGGTTTTTATTTTAATTATACGACAGTTGTGTTCCATTAAAAAGAAAAAGTTTCAGCGAGTAAAACTGCTTAAATCGAACATAATTTCCAAAACATCGTGTCGATCAAAGTTGCAACGCTTGATTTAGTGAATATCTCCATTCTTCGATAATTTCCTTTAATTATTCTGAAAAATTAGTGTTTTAGAAAACATTTCCCTTTGGAAGGAAACGTACAAATTTCAAGGCAGGTCTGTTTAGAACGAACGCTGTAGAGTTGTACTGACGAAGTACCCCACTCAAGTTCTGGTTGGGTTCAGACCTATACTCAGTTTCCCAATACAGTTGCCATGGTAGTATCTTCAGACAGGCCAGAGCTAGCTTACTCACTCACGAGTCATGGACGTCTTTACGCGTCACGGAACACCACGTAAATTTTCCTTACAACACCCTCGAATAACTTTGGAATAAAACAATTAGTACATCTCGACAGATTAAAACAAAGAAAACATCACATTCAGTACCATTGCATTCAATGAATTTACCTTAAAACAATAGTTTGCGTAAAAATCTACCAAATTACACGGCGCTACAACCCAGCTGACAGTCGTGTTCATACTCACTGCTACGAGAACCACAGAGACGAACATCGTGTAAAGGTACGTACGTAATAGACGCAAAATACCAATATTTAATGTTATTCAACCTCTTTCAGAGACTGTGAAGTAAATGAATATTTTACCAACAAATATGAATTTCAAACATGTGACAGTGCAAGCTTGAAGAACGTAATCTGCGTTTGAATCCATGCACCAGTGACGTGCAGAGTAAGAAGTTAATGTGGAGACTTCAAGCCGATTTGGAACTCTCGACGTAGAATGCGTGATTTTGTCATGTTACTGTTTAGTGATCACTATTTCTACTCTGTAGGAAAATATTTTTTGTAAATATAAATTAAAGTTATTTCAGAATCGTAATAAACTATGATAGTAATAAATGAGCAGAGAAATGAATGAGTTGTACTGTATAAAGTAATTCAGTTTTATGATTTAATACTATTAATATAATATATATACACGAATGTGGCAAATGACGTTAAGATACAAAACATATGACGAAAGACTCTCGAGCGACAGACAGCGTCAGGTGGCCGAATGGTGAATTAACGTTTCACCATTCGGCCACCTGGCGCGGTCTGTCGCCCGAGAGTCTTTCGTCTTCAGTTACCGCAAAAGCTTCAATGTTTAAGTAGGAACAGCTATCATTTTCCTCTCTTCTCTGGAGTTCAGACACTCAAAATAAGATCAATTTGGCTGTAAAGTAATCAGACATCGCTAGACTTGATCTCCACACGAGAAAATAAAATCAGTACCAAGCTATATCATGTTTAAGTTGCGAGATTGTATCTTACGTTCCACTTCATGAATTTTACAATGAACGCAAAATAACTCTTGAGCTTCAATGACCATTACAGGAACCAAGTCCTTCCTTCAGTACTAGCAGATGTGAAATTATTAATTTGCGGTTTAGAATTAGAGCATGCAGATTAAGATGAGTGTCTACATTCCTCGTAATGTTTAGTTCATTTTGATTCACAAAATACAGTGCAATGTAAAAGTCAGTGTGTAAAATATGCTACCAACTGTGGCAATTAATTTTTTTTTTCAGTTACACTTTAAAAGCTCAGACTCCATGCTGCCATTTCGTTGTATAAGGAACTCTATCTATTGACAAATTTAAGAAATTTTGGATGAAGTGTGACGTTCGTTATAGCGAATGTTCGTAAACCGAGAGTTGCCTGCATATGGCGCGGCAGCTCACTTATCTTTCTTTACATTAGTTCATGTCTTTGGCAATAGAGGGCAAAGCCGGTCGCCTAGCTTTGGGTTTTCGGAGATACTATCCGGGTAATCGGATACCCAAGGAGAAATTGTTCGCGGGCCCATAGTTTTTTATATGACCAATTGATGGCGCGGCAGTTCACTTATCTTTACATTAGTTCATGTCTTTGGCAATAGAGGGCAAAGCCGGTCGCCTAGCTTTGGGTTTTCGGAGATACTATCCGGGTAATCGGATACCCAAGGAGAAATTGTTCGCGGGCCCATTAGTTAATACGTTGCCAACAGATGGCGGGGCAATTCACTTATCTTTACATTTGTTCATGCCCTCCCCAACACAGGGAACTCTCGGTTTACGAACGAGTTACGTTCCAACACGTTGTTCGTTGTATCTTGCATTCCTGAGCTTTACGATACGTAGCCACTTTACAGCATTGAAACCATGTACTAAACATCGAGTTCAGTACAATTATCATGCAATAATTTTCTGATAATTATTATAATAAATACATTTTTAAAAGTTTATTTATTTAAATCTTACAATTATGTTCACTAAACGTTTGGAATTTCGTTTTATAAGGAACTCTATCTTTAGGCGACTTTAAGAAGTTTTGAATGAGTTCGTAAACCGAGAGTTGCCTGTATGTACTTGTGTTATTCATGAAACAAAAATAATGTTACACGAATGACGGTGTTATTCTTTGAAACAAATACAAATATTTATAAATAGTTACCTCGTGTCAGGGCACATTTTGTTAATGTCGTCAGTATTTGGCAGCAGCCGTCAGTCTGAGAAACTGTTCAGCATGCACCTGGCATAAAGGATGCAGATTGTTCCAACAGAAATTAAACCTGATATCGCAAGATTACTCAATCAAAAGCAGTATCAAGTCCCTCATTAAGGACTTATTTATTTTAATAAAACCGAGTAATGTGTAAACCTATTTTGAATAGTGGGCATAATTTAGTAACATTTTTAATAAAATGCTGTGGCATTTCAACAAATTGCCGTCATCTATATCTGATGTATAAAGTGAGGATTGAAGTCGATGAAAGATTCCCGGGTTACGAGCCGCGTCAGGTGGCTGAACGGTGAGTAAACCATATCTTCTGCCATTTCCCATCAGCAAGCGCGCAACAAAGGATCAAATTTGTTACACAGCAGCCCTGAGAATGACAGCACAGACTTTTCTTAAAACGTTGGCAGAATATATGGTTTATTCACCGCTCAGCCACCCCAATCTTTCTTCATCCATATCCTATCTGACGATAAATTGATACGAAAGGCTAAATGTGGCACCCAGTCTAAAAAAAGGCTGAGATCCCTGCCTAAAACAATCCATTTATCATCTTGAATGTTTTACCATTTATCTTTATGTAGAAAATGTGAACAGGCTGTTAAAGTCGACCATAGGACAACATTCAAACCTTGGATGAAGACAACGATGCACTGGAAGCTAATATTTCATTATAAAATTTAAATTCGCTGAATACTTTCTTATTAAAACTGAAAAAACATGTCATTTTACACTTAATCTATTTACTAACTTAGAAGCAATTCAGACTAAACACCTGCCTTGTTTGTAAAGACGTGCGCCATATTTTGTTTCTCTGAAAGAAAACATTTTGAATTATAACTAAGCATATTTCATACCAAAAACCTATATGGCAGGTTTTGTCGTAACACAACAAGAATATTACAAAAAGAAATCACAACAGAGGTCCATTTTGGATATAATGTAATCAAGTACATGGCCACTGCGCACAAAGAAATGCCGAAGAAAAGCATTATGATCTTTATAACATATTACGTTATAGCAGAAATTAATGTACTATCTTTATAACTACAGAGTGACTCAAAAATCCCTGTGCATATGCGCGATGCACGTGTGTGTGACCTTCACCAGGAAAGGATTTTTGTGCACAGGCTCTTCTGAATTATTTTCTAAATCCAACACGTGTTCTTGTAGGTGCACAGGGACCCTTGAATACATAACCACCCTAATGTACTGATAAATGCACATTTGAAGATTTCTGTCTTCTGGGTTGTTGCGCTGTGTAGTCTGCTCGATGTTTATCAACGTTTCAGAGGTCATACTGCCTCCGTCATCAGGACGATGAATCGATACACAGCGCAACAACCCAGAAGACAGAAATCTTCATCGCCCTGATGATGGAGGGCAGTATGACCTCTGAAACGTTGATAAACATCGAGCAGACTACACAGCGCAACAACCCAGAAGACAGAAATCTTCAGACTCACAGCTGTGAAAACCTCAAATCTTATAAAACATATGATGTATTTGAAGGTTTTGCTTTCTTTTAATTTAAATACCACATGTTCCAACTTGATGTTTTTATCAGGCGGTATTGTATTCGCTGTACGAGGATACCACTGAACGCATGCTTCAAATTACCATAACTGAACTGTCCTAGCCAAATACAATATCCTTAATGAAAATGTGTTATCAAATAGCAACAAAATTCAAAACTGCAAACACCCATGCTAAAATAATTTCACTGATATTTTCAAAAATTTTAAGTGCCGTATTTTTTCTCATGGCTCTACACTCCTTGATTGACTGTGACCTCCTCAAACATGGGAAGTTTCTTAATCGTTAGACATTGGTAGGACTCCTTGGATGACATAAAGACGCGGACAAACATCCATGCCTTCAGTGGGATTCGGACTTGCGGTCCCAGTGACTAAGTGAGCCCGCGCTCCAGACTGAGCGGCCACTGTGACCAGCAACTGCCATAATACATCTATAATATTTCCTGAAGATAATCCCTTTTAAATGATTTTTCATATTTTAAGCTTGGAAGCCATAAATGTTTAAAACGTTAAGAGAATATCTGTTGTTGTATTTGTTTATATAATTTATTATACAATTTCAACAGTCCACCTCAGACTTAAACTAATCAAGTAAGGAAAAATTATTGCATATACACATGAAGATTTCATTTGGTACAGCATTGTCATCATAGAATGGACTGATTATGGCACTGCATTTCAAATAAGAAGAGACAAATAAAAGAATAACAAATTACATTAAATATAAACTATATATACACATAAAGCAAGCCTTTGGCATTCTTCATTCTGACTACATCATCCATTTTAAAAACATTTTTCTGATTACTGCAAAAAATTATAATGAAATTAAGTCAAATGAGTTAATTTTAATCACAATATTTGAAACTCATCAGAAGGCAAAACTTATTTATTGATGTAAATGTACAAAACTGTCAATCTAAAGACTTTCAAATAAGGAATTAATAAATAGAATCTTCTTGAGCTATCAGCCGCACAAACCGGTTACCATAGTAAACCGACGTTTCGGGAACCAACTCTGTCCCCATCATCAGGGTTCTGACGGAGGCAGTGTGACCTCTGAAACGTTGGTAAACATCTACCATACTACACGGCGCAACAACCCAGAAGACAAATTGTCGAACAGCTCATTATGCAGTTTTCTCCATCCTTCTATTAATTCCTCTCTCTTACGCTAGCATCAGACGAGTGTTTATTTACCACCCGTTTACAGATGTGAAAATAAATGACAGGGTGGCAACACGGACAAATTTTTCATGTCAATTTGCAATTTACTGTGTGAAAAATGCAGCACTGCAAATTCACAGTGCACCACAGACACAGTACTGATTCGTGTGCAGATCCTTTTAAAGTTTTAAACATCTATGGCTTCAAAGCTTAAAATTTAAAAAAATCACTTAAAAGGGATTGTCTTCAAGAAATATAACAGATGTTTTATGGCAGCGGCAGCTAAAATTTTGTATGGAAGTATTACTTAACGTGTGAAAACGTTCAGATAAAGTTCCAACATGACAACACTGAGTTCCCTTGTCTGCATGAAGAAGTGTATGAGAAAGTGATTGTCAGAGCCAGAAAATTAACATTTGTTGCTTTGTCTGTGTATATTAAGGTCTATTTACATTCTTTATGAATTCTTATACCTTCACTCATGAAGATTAATGATAGAGTCAGCATGAGGAGCACTTGTTGAGACTCCACTTCCTCTGGCCATTTCAAATAACTTGCATCTGTTGAAAACTTTTCATTGTTTATAAGCATATAGTGCTTCACATTTCAGTTGTGTTCAACTGTGACCAAATTCATCCCAAAAATCTGTAAAATGTGCTGCTGCTGATGGGAGGTTTATTCCGTCAGGCAACTTGTCGAAAAGAGTTTGACTGGTTGGTTGGTTCTCTGGGGTTTGAACCCAGAGACGGTGGGGCTGCTTCAGCTGACGGCCTCTGCGACCTGGGTGTGGGGATAGAGTACTAAAACACTAATTTAATGGGGCTGGCAGCCAGATTTTAACTCAGGGATTTATCTAGTAATATTACTTCTCCTTCTTCTTTCTTGGCATACAACTCAGTTGTGGGTCATCACCTCCTTTTCGGAGGCTTTCCTAATCTTTGAAGAGTGCATTCGTGAGTACTGAGTGACCAGCCCACTGCCTCTGCAAAATTTCTACTCAATCCTAATTTGACTGCTAGAGCCATCTAGTAGTGAACCAGGGGACACTTGGGAGAGAATTTTGCTTAAGAAACATCTCATTTCATGATTGCGAGGTTCTTTTACACGCTGTACATCTGATGACTTTACTTCCCCTCCAAAGGAAGTTGTGCTACCGATTTTTACCCCCTTAAAAATCCATTGACCTCAGATGGGTTTGAACCCATAAACCTTGGGTCCAGTGGCGAGCACGCCAACCACTAGTCCACCGAGGGAGACAGTAATATTACTAATACTGAGAAAATGTCTGTATCTTTAAAACTACTGGTGATAAAATAGTATATTAAAAAGTTCTTGAATGGAAATACATTGTTTGTAAAAATCATTTTTCCTAAAACAGGCTGTAGATAAAATAAAATACACGATATACCAATCACAATGTAGAGTAAGTAAGTAAAGTAAAGTAAAGCGTCCCACTAACGCCATGTAGGCGCTTGGGGTGAGTGGAGGTATAGCTCCTCTCTTCCTTGACCTCGGCACTAGATGGGGGTGAGTGGTCAGCATCACGCCCCGGCCGGCTTTACCCCCGGGAAAGGACCCCGGTACCCATTGGATAGGAGGCTGGGTGGGCCTCAGAGCCCGTCTGGACGCAGAGGCTAGAGGAAAAATCCTGCCCCCATCGGGGATCGAACCCCGGTCGTCCAGCCCGTAGCTAGTCACTATACTGACTGAGCTATGGCAGCTCATCACAATTTAGAGTACTTATATTTTAGTAAATGTCCTTCTTACCATACTGTAACATAAGACTGATTTACAACCTCGCCTTCATGTAGAAAATATGAAAACATGCGTGTATACACAGACTGACAAGTAGAATCCCTCCTTTAAAACTACAAACCCACAGCAAACCATTCCAAGGACAAACTTTCAGATCCATGTTGGTAAATATACAAATACGGAACACGACAATCAAAACTAACGCCATCATGACATGTTAAGACAAACAGGGGCCCCCAAAACTGCTCATTGCTGCTAAAGATAAAAACATCTTAAAAGACTTAAATGTCAGCGCATGCAAGTTCTATCCAGCTATTTATAGTCAATCACTAACTGAACTATTTCAAAAATGCTGTTTTCAATATAATTCACTCACTGAAATAAATAAAATACACTTTACCTCCTTGAGCACACGTTTAGCTCCATCCATGATATAATTACAGTTCCTTCCATGTGTTTTGAGAACATTTTTTACAGTGTCTCTTCGCTTGATAGCATACTTGGTATTATCCTGAGACAGGATATACAGCACGGTATCATTGATCAAATTTTGTTGCTCTTGGCTTGACAGATGGCTCTCCTGAGCTGATTGGGAAGTCATCATTTGCTGAAAATAAAATGACCTGTATGGTGAAATATCTCTGAAAACTAACAGACTCATTCCAAATGGCAAAAGATTTTATTATTGTAGTTTAATGGGTGCGAAACATGGTCTCTCACTGAGGGAGGATCACAGATTGCAGGTGTTTGAGGAGGATATTTGGGCCTAAGAGAGAAGACGATGGGGCGTGGAGAAAACTGCATAATGACGAACTTAAAATCTGTACTCCTCCCCCAGTATTGTCAGGGTGATTAAGTCGAGAAGAATGAGATGGGTGGGGCATGTAGCAGGCATTGATGGGACAAGAGGTGTGCACCAGGTATTGGTTGGGAAGCCTGAGGGGAAGAGACCGCTGGGGAGACCTAGACGTAGATGGGAGGATAATGTCAGGCAGGATCTGTGGGAGACAGTAGTTGAAGGAAACTGGATTTCGTTGGCCTAGGACAGGGTCCGGTGGAGGGCTTTGGTTGAGTCGGTGATGAACCTTCAGGTTCGGTAAGCCATCTAGTTGGTTAGTTTAGCTGCTCAAGACATTCCCTGTAGTAATAAAATCTCAAGGCTGATTAGTGTCACTAATAAGCATTACATAACATTGTGTTACACTTTGGATAACTAAACAAAACTGTGGATGTAACATAGGTACAGAAGGTTCCCGTTATCCTAATCTTCGTTATCTGTTTCCTTACATACATGAAGCCAAATCATTAAGGAAATATAAATAAAATTTCCTTACAGTTCCAAGGATCACATCAATGTACCACAAATTTCCCAGCAGAAAACAGTTCCCATCTCAAACGCATCCACCATTTTTTCCCAGTCTCGAGATACTGCAACTTCTAAAACAAAAATGCAAGCTGGAATCCAGACAACTTTAGATTCGTTCTTCGCAAAACACAAATAAATCATGGTATAATTTTAAAGACAAAAATTACTGATAACTTTAAGGTAGTGATCTGTTAAGGTTATTTATGAAACAATATGTATTTTAATATCATTAGTTCAAAATGGGTACTGGAGTTGTATTATGGGTTGGTGGAAAACAATTCCTTGTTAAACATGACATGGGTGGTACACTATCTTCCCAGGTTACAGACCCATCTGTACCCTAAAATATTTAGAATTTGTCGGGCCTAACCTCGAAACTGCATAGCATTACCACGTCAGTAATTAAACATCATTTCACATAAATTTGTGGGCATTTTTGTGAATACCAATATGCCAAATATTAATATCTACCTCCAATTGCTTTGTTTTCGCAAAAAATCTGAAGTTAGACACAAATTTCATACATCTAACTACGTTACCTTCCTCTGTTCTCGGCGCGCCAGAAAAAATCCTTACTACGCATGTGCACCCCAAACATGGTCGTAGATTCAGTACTCTCGTGCACAATGCCATTTCTATGTTCAACAATTTAAAACCAACTTTCGCAAGCCAGAGACATTTATATTTGTATCATTATAAACTGTCTTTCAATAAAAATACTCCCATGTAAGGGAATCTGTTATCAGTAGACACAACTCGTCATTCTCTTGGTAACGCGTGAGCTGTGCTAATTGACTTATTAGGGCAGCTAACGAAGAGATTGCAATCGTAAAGCTCAACTATGCTGCAAAGTACTAAATATTTGCTGATATGCCGAATACAATTGTCTTTTTTACAATAGCAATAATTTATCTGCTGCAAGCAACATTATACTCGCAAGCTACAAAAACAGATTGTCTAGCTTCTTGTGTTTTCTTCTAGGGTGTAGAGGTTATTTATAAACTGAATCCTACTTAAACCATACACTCCCAGTACAATTACATTTTGTGAAGACACGGAATTTCAGGTTATATTTATACATTATACTTTTTGTATATGTGGTCATCTGATTTCTTGTTTCAGGAATTACAAAGCTGTATTTCTTTTGTAAGGAAAATGATTGGTGAATTCCTTTTAAATTGCTCTGAGATCAAATTTAGTAGTTGTCAGTCACTTTACAAAGTGTAATTATTGTGTAGAAGAAGTATGTGTGTTTTACAGTCCTTGTAGTGTGTATGTTGTCTGTTGCTCATGATGGAACAGCACACAGAATATTGGCAATCTTCTCTGCGGGACCAATTAGAATTTTGTGTTTTCCTGTATACAGACATGCTCAGTAGTATAAGTGTATTATAACAAAATGCAGTATATAATGTATATGTGATGTTTGTAAGATTATCTTCAACATGATAGAGTAAGTTGATGAGATTAGCAGGTGAATCCATTGGAACGTTAGTCAGAAGCCTCTTATCAGTTTTGGCTCTCTGAGATTGGTTGATTCTTGGTTTAATTAAAGACTTTTTATTTTAATTAAATTAGTTATGTACCATTAAAAGGATCAGTGTGATGATGAATTGAGAAGTGTTCATGGTCTTTCTGTTCCAACAATGGTATGGAGGAACTGAAGAAAACAGGAAAAAATCTCAGCTGACCATAGGGCCAAGACCCAAAGTGAAGACGTGTCAAATGCAAATGGATGGCCTGGTCACTCAAAATATGTTTCAGATCAATGCACAGTTCTCCATAACAATTTTAAATTGGGGCATGTGCGTTTGAACTGCTGTCATTTATTTCTATTTTGGTGGATCATTTAAAAAAAATTGGATTGCTCCCTGTTACCACAACAAAGCAATCCGATTAAGTGTCTTATCCCAGCAAACACTTTAAAAAACAATTTCTTGCCGTTTGTTGTATAAAAGTGCCATGTTGTGACTTATGATGTACATCATGGACGATTACATATGATGAATATATTCAGTTGCCAAAATTATCACAACTTGTGCCTTGGGATTTGGCCAACACTTTTGGACAGGTCATG